AAGTAACAACAGGCACTTTATTTACTTACAGCAAGAACAAGTTCTAGCAGAATACTATCAATCCATTTTATTTTGGCATCACTTACTTGCAAGCTAAAATAATTTTAGCATCAAATTATATAAAATGTTTTCATACTTGAGTCAATTTGATGAAAAATTAACAGCTTGGAGAAAAGATAACCTTGAAATACCCTAACTAACTACACGTGAATCAAGTGAATAAATATACGAGAACTAAAAATCAGTTAGTCTATGAATAGAAGGATTCAATGAAAATTCCACAGCGGAAGCTGGACAAAAGTAGGGGGAAAACTGCCTAATCCATTTTAAGAAAGGTAACATGAAATGTGTGTGTCGAAAGATCAGACATGCGGTCGTAAACCCTCCTATCCGTTCGTCCAATGTATGCTTTGACATGCAAATTGATATGTGCAGTTAGGGATGACATGAAAAAGGGACTTGTCAAACTTAGATTGTCTCAGTGAGCAATTCGTTTGGTAAAGTGCGCATAACCTGATAACTAGATAAGTCATCCTTTTGACAGCCGAGGTTGTGTAATTAATTCCCCCAGAAACCATCTCCTTTAAAGCCAATAATTAGGAAGTCAAGTTTCTTCTCTACTATACCACTTTTCATATTTTTAGTTGATATGAAATTGACTGATCTCCAGTGACTAGTCAATATGTCAGTACACATCCCCATAATTCACACTTACATACCGATGTGTACAGTGAACGAGTAATTGCTGCTTTCAGTGTATATCTCTTTTTACTCCGTCTTTTGCACAGCTTCACAGAACATATTCTACCCATACTAAATTGATCTTGGTAACTAGCACAGGAATCCAGGACGCACGTTTCCTCCTATTTAGTACTCGTTAGCTGGGTGCACCTAAACCCCGGTGAGTGATGTTGTTCCCACTGGGGCATGATAGCCACCTCCTACGCAACGAATATCAGCGAAGCGAATGGTACTGGGTTTTAGCCTCAGGGGGAACAGCATCACTCACTGGGACGCAGGTACATCCAGCAGATGAGTCCCAAATAGGATGAAACGCGTGTTCTGGATTCCTCTGCTAGTCACCAAGATCAATATAACATCGTGAATATCCGGCAATATCTAGGCATCCACATAGGGGCCCATCTGCCAACAGAGGTCGAGCAATTAGATTCTTTATAGCAACGGGAAATTACAAGTATCATTAAAATATTCTACATCATTTCTTTTATTCTAACAACAGTTAGCTCATTTCTAATACCCATCCTGTTCTTTGGTGATACAGTTTTTTCCCTTGTGCGAATATTTAGCTAATCAGTCACCGTGTATTCATTTCCGATGGCATGAATTAATGCGCCAGTTTCCTCCGCCAAGAGTTATTCCACAGATTCATGGCAATCGTAACTCCAGCATCAATAGGTCAGCTATACGGCATAAGCTAACAGTTACAAATCGTAGACGACTGCCGATACGAACAAATAATGGCAGAACTAGTGCATCACCTTCAATAAGTAATCAAAGCCCATTGCCAGAAAACAAAGAATTCTCACCTTTACCAAGTAAAACACAAACAAGTCAATTTGGGAGTTCAATGAATACTACCAATCAAACCTCAAGATTTCCTGATGGTATGAAACCAAGACCTTCAAATGGTGAACCAGTATGGCGTGGAAATCATGTAAATTTTATTTAGTAGTTTAAATCTTATCTGTTTATATACGATGAATAAATTATGCAGTCATTTTCATAGTACAGGTAATTAATATTCAACTGTTGATCCATGGCTCTTAACTCAATTTTGAATCAGGTGATCAAGCAGCATGGTTGAAGTGAACAGCCCCATAGAGGGATCTGTCAATGATTATTTGAAACCAATTTATTTCTCTAAATCCCCCTACCCATTATTTGGGTGTCAAATGGGTTAAAGCCATAAAGAAAAAATCAGTCCGTTTCTAATGTTATCCTACTCAGCACTTCTCCCACCCTTGACGAAAATAGAGGAAGTTTTCCTAAAGAAATCTTGTGATTTATAAAACGGCGAAAAGAAGGAAAGCGCTCACTGTTGCTTCAATCTTCTAGAGTGATATAATAACCATTTTGGTGTCTATTCGATGTCTGTCCGATTCAGTTTCTTTGTTTTGACTAGATTTGACGTTTGGCCCAACAAGTTTAAATCAGTTGCTCAACCATTATGAAAAAATCTATTCTGGTTTGATTGAGTGCTGGTGAACAAAAAAAGAATATTTGTTGAAGATCCTTCGAATTTTATAAGTGTTTTCGGTGATACTTACCTGTATGATGAAATCTCATTCAAATTCCCACCTTAGGTGTAGGTAGATTGTTTACTGCAGTTTACCATAGTAAATTCGTGTAATATCGATTCACAAACACTTTTATTAAAGTACTTTGTAAAGTTCATAAACAGTGAAATTCCCTTATACAAACACTTTTGCAGACAATGTGTCCGATCATTAGGACAAAGAGTGATAGATTTAAAGTGATTACAACAATATCATGTGCATTAACTATGCTGCAAAGCGCACATATTTTTTCATTGAAAAAAGTTGAAACGTAGATGTAACCCTATTTGGCCGATAATCAAATAATCAAACTATAAAACTAGTCATATAGTTACTTCGTAGTGGGTAGACAGTTACACGTTTTATGCAATTCCTTCCCTTAATAATAAGAACGAGAACAATAGTTTTAGCAGATGGATCAAATGGATCTGTGTTACTCGACTACAATTGTTGTTCTTTTCCTGTTGAAAGTCACAGGTTTATTATTAATAATGATTTACATTAAACAGGTTAATACCTGTATTCTAGTCACACCATATTATTATTTGTGTTCGTCGTAATCATATGCTCAAGTCTTTGTAACAGCCATTTAAGGTATAATAAGCTTGTTAATCTGGGCTTTTTCCGGTTATAATATTTGACAGAGATGGCGAACTAAATGGAATTTCCCAACGAAAATCCTCTGTTTATTAGATTTCCGTTAAAAGCTTGAAGCACCATGTTCATTATCAAGGGTATCAAGAATCTTTTCAAAGTTGTTTCCGACAGGGATGACAGAGAAAACGAAGTGTGCTTTTAAACAAGGTTTCATTTACCAGGAAATGTGGAATATCAACAGCTTTAACCGTTCGTAGTCAATTTATGCAGTTGTTTTATCGCAAAATTTCTAAAGGTGTCAAAAAGTATATTATAACTTGATTTATAGTTTGGATAATGGGGTAAACAAGATGCAGCTTCACTAAGGTTGTTTGGAAGCTATACATCTGCGCTGAAGTTTTCTATCATGCAAATTTGGCAGAATACGTCCTTTTACTCAGACGTATAGTTGAACCAGATAGGTATTTCAAAACCATGAACACAATATTGTCAAAACCATAGAGATTTCAACTCAGTACAGTTATGCTTGTTTTATAGTAGTACCAAGATATACTCTACACTACCAAGCGATCTATTCATGCCATTCAAATGAGAACCGATTGAATTAGTAAAATCGAACATCAGTTGAAAAAATTCAGCTGTTAGAACGACATTAATGGACGTTTGAGTTTAGAACATTCACGTGTTGCTAATATTATCATTCTGAATTCAACTCAGTAACCAAAACCTTATCTCATGTAAATTCTAACTGGTCACAATACAAGCAGGTTTACTAAAATGCTTATTTAAGTAGGACTAAGCGTATCCGTATAGAAAGTAAAATGGTATATAGATTTTAGAATGTCAACTTAAACATTGGTAGAAAAGGGTAGACCATCGAAATAAACTGTCTAAGAATTTATATGGGGTAGAAACTTACTGTGTACACTGAGTCGTAGTCACTTAAATTTCGTTACCATAGTGAGGGAAGTCAGACCGTATAAATTCGAAACGAAAGCGAAAGTTTGCAATCGATAAAATATATCATCTAACTAGACTTATCATTACTGTAAATACAAATATCTACTTCGGCATAAACTTGAAAGAGCATATTAACGACAATTTTACTTCCCACTGTGTTTACCAGCCTACATATGCTCGTGACCACACAAAGAGTAATTGAGACTGTTAGAACATATACTGGAATGGCTTCAAAAGTAGTTGATTGATAAACACTGATGGCAGGCAGTTATTTTTATCTGTTGCCAACTGTGTAACTGGAAGCAGTCAAAATGGTTAACATTTAGTGTAGAAACTGTCACTACCTTTTAGTTCAATTTGCCAAAGAGCTTATAATAATATGTGAATCTCAGCTCACACCCTGGGTTTTCAAAAAGACGTTGCATCTTCACAGTTAACCTGCTAACGTTTGTATTATTCTAGCACCATAAATAGGGTAAAAATTATGCTATTTTCACACTTCCTATTTTCCCTGATTGCTTTAACTATATTATATTTCTGTTTTCATATAAAACATCTATGACAGGTAAATGTGTGATCAGATTGTTTGAATTTTTTACGTGAATGCATCCCACTTTTCAAATGAAATTCCCTGAATTGCACTGTCCTAACAAATAACTATCCAAATTAAAACCTTCAGTTACTTTTTTGCATGCTTCACTGGCGGTATGGTCAGTGAGTATACAAAAATCTATGATGGTAGAGTGTTCCGCCTTATGTTATCCAGTTCCTAGTATTTGTTGTATTTCATCGACTAAGTTTGTAATCTGTCTATCCTGTTAGACAGTTATATTTGCACTGCTCTAGGACAAACTGTTAGGTTAGTGCGCTGAGTGACACCGTTTTAAAGATCTAAGTTTGAATCAGTTTTCCTAAACTAGCGGAGACATTTTACTGATGACAAAAATGAAGACATCGTAGCAAGCGGTGTTTTGTTAAGTGACACCTAAGTAAGTATATAAGTCGGTCACTAGATAGCAATGGATATAACTGCTTTAAAGTTTCACATGCTGACAAAATTTCATCACTTAGGTTTATAATTTGGCTGTCAAGCCAAGTAACTTTATATTACTATGCAGTGTATATAATTTTGGGTATTTGGAGGTAATCAAAAAAGAGTTGTATTTCTGAATTTCTAGGATTTTCTTAGTGTTCAATAAAACGACTGCATCAATAACGCCAAGAATTGCGATGAATCTTCAGAACATTAAACCTGTGTTACTCACTACCAGTTAGACTTGTCAAGGCTCAGGATTACTGATCATCATCAATCTTCAAATATGAGAGGTTTTTTATCTGTACTGCAGATAAATGTATCAGTTGAAGAACTAGGATGTATTTACCTCCATATGGTTTCTGAAAGTGTCGTGAGACTCATGCATAAAAATTAATTAAGTCATTTCTCATTCCCCAGAAGAATTTGCACATTGTGCACATTAGATGCTGGACAACAATGCGCTATGATGTACATTCCTAACCTTTTTAATTTTTACATACTTGTATTAAAGTGACAAAAATTTTACGAATTTTTTTTACATCTATCACTATGAATTATGACACTATTGACTGATACATTTATATCTCATTCTGTGCTTAAGATTTCAGAGATGAGCAGCGACCAAGTCAGTGGTTTGGATGGTAATCAACAGGGGTTTTATTGTCTCAAAGGACTAGCTGCTTCAATCGGTGGTATTGATTTAATTGGAAATGCTAATACAGATGTAGATTTCCCCCCCTTTGAACAAAAATATTCCAATCCACGACAAATGGGAAGTAAACCTAATAACTATCCTCAAGAAAGTGTTTATCATAGTCAACTCTTAAATCGAAAAGTTATCAGCCCACATTGGTCAAGTCAAATGTTAGATACAAATAGAACAGAAACGCCAGTATCTCATTGGTATTTTGATCCTCGTCTTCAAGCTTCAAATGGCTTATCACAAAGTGTAGGTGATTTCAATAATGGCTCTAGACTACCATCAAATTTCCCCTCTATGAATCGTTTACAAGTTGATCAGTTAAACGAAGCAGCCAATGATTGGAAGCAGTACCGAATGTCTTTACTAGGCCAAGGATTGGATAAAATTAGAACTTCACGATCCGGTTCTAGATCAGTTACCCAGGACTAATACCAAACCGAAATGTGAGCAGTAGCATGTCAAACTTACCAACAAATTGTGTTCCTAATCCGTTCAAAGTTCCAGATGTCACCATTCATGAAGCAACAGATAACAGTTCAGAAATAGTGAGCGATTTAGACAGAGGAAGAGATACAGATTCTGATGCATTGAGTTCTGTTAACCTCTTAGATATGAATCCGGAAAGAGGACTTAGTGATGTACTATCTCGTAGTGGCTTAGGAAATTCTGTTTCCAATGTAACACTACATAAAGAACCAAAATCTGGTTTTGGATTGGTATTAGTTGATGGTGAGGTGAGTACTCTTTTTACGTAACGTGTTTAACAAACTGCTTTAACTATTTACATGTGCCAGAGATGTTGAGAATGCAAAATAATACCAGAAAAAAATCAACACTTTCAATTTTCAACCTGAGAATAATTGGACCTCGTTACTTCTTACAAACGTCAATCACGTACACATCAGTACAATTAAAGCATACTGCAATCGATAAGTATTTACATGCACACAAATAATACTTCTACTGTTCTTAAGTGACCTGGCTTAAAGTGGATCACTTGATGTTGCAAATTGTGTTATTGTCGTTCCTGTCATAATTAAGAATTAATGTATGCCGAGAACGTTAGGTTGTGGTTGGTGTGTTCAACAAACTGATTGGAATGTGAAGTATCAAATACTGGATTCAAACCTTTTTAGCTTACTAAATATAGAACCCAAAAGTAGAAGATTTAGTTATATTTGGATTGAGAGTGTTGTATTTCTCACCAACCTTAAATGCAGGATAAGGCAACTGTCGAGTGCCTTATACTTCTTAATTGTTCTGTGATTGATAACAAGCTGTGACAAAAGCTTTTTGTAGATTACTACATTCATGTTGAGCAGTTTTAGATTGATTTTGCAAAAACACGCACCCACAGTACAACTACTGGCACTAAACTGTAAAACTTCCTGTTGTTTAGGTTTGCTTACTAAACTGAGGTGTCATGAAAGTGAAAGTGAAGGACAATGTATGAATGTATGGACAATTAACATTACTTAACTTGGTTGGATTATTCACTTACGGACTCATTTCTTCACCTTATTTGTCAATGAAGATTAGGACCACAAGCTTAATTGGCATCTCCCACCTTCGGAAATTGTAAATTCTCCTGAAAATATCTTGACAACCTTTTTAATGGGCAACTTAACTCATTTTTAGTGGTCAAAGGCAATCGTCGGGATCCCCTGGACCTAGGTTTCGCTTTAGTCGGCACTCGTCCGTAATGCGTATTTGCAAACTTAACAGAACTTATTGCTAAATAACATTAAATCGGTTTCTCTCCAGTGACAAATCAAACATCTGGTACTACAGAGAGTCAATTGCAGTCCATGGCAGCCCTACTGAGTGATGTGGGTTTGGATTTCCGAGGAGGCATGAGTTTCCTTGAGCTTACAGATACACCTTACTCACCAGTCCCAACAAGGACGAAATCAGAGTCCAGCGCTTTTTACCAGTTGCCTTCAACCATCTGACCACAAACAAAAGTGCACTGCGATTGTGATTTTTCTGAGTTAACAATCACATTCCAAACTGGTTGATGGAATTTCGGTCAGTTCAAGGGACTAAACAACATTAAATTGGTTACTCTCCAACGACCAAACAATTTTTAATAACCCCTTTTCAGTTGTTATGACGTTTTATTGGAATTAAGACGACAATAAACAGTTGTCATAACAATGTGCAAACTACTCATACCGTGAGTCGATCAAATATTGAAGTTTGCATAGTCTAATAGTCTATTCCCTCGGTACATTTTGAACCATCTGTTCGTACGTTTACTTGTCAATGGCATTTTTATATGAAAGGTGAAAATAGAGGAGTGCAAGGCAAATTAGTTAGAAGAATAATGCAATATTTGAAAAATAAAGGATGGCAAGGAGGAATAACACACTTTTATACACTTCTTAGTATGAAATGAGACAAAGATTACCAAGAAAGGCTTAAGTCAAGGAGAAGTTATTTCTGAATACACAAGAAGGGAAGGTCGGATTTCCTCATGGTTCTATTTTGGTCTGTTTATTATAAATGTCACACAGTGAGACAGTATCATTTACGGGATAACGTTTCGGACATAATTTATTATCCATATTCATATCATGTAACTCCACAACTTTGGGATATGGTTTATATAGTCTTAATGTTCTGTCCTTCTCTCTCACAGAGCCTATTTCTAAACGACTTCGTTGGTTCAAATGCCACTTTAATTCCAGCCTTATTGAGAATCCTTCTTAATACTTCTGAGGTGCCATTTTTGTTGGGTTAGATTAAATTAAAAGATCCTATTGTTTCAATCTGGCTAAATAATTTGTTTTGTCGAAACCCCTGCAATGATTGCGAAGTTAAATACATTGGTCAAAGTAGTCGACCAGAAGCAATAAGAATAAGAGAGTACAAAGCCTTAGCTAAATCAAAATTATTAGATCCTAATAAGATAAGAAATTTAGAGAAAAGCTCGGCTATAGCCACATGCGCAATTACCAACAACCACACATAGCGTAGGATAGAGGGTTAATATTAAAAACCAACTTAGTTGCATGGAGGGTGAGATTGATAACCGGATCTTTGTTTATCGAATCAACAACAAATATATGTAACAGGAATGATTCTGCGCCTGAACCAGATATATGGAAAGTTCTACTACCCTTATCATAAAGAAGAACAGAACATGAGGACTATATAAACCATATCCCAAAGTTGTGGAGTTACATGATATGAATATGGATAATAAATTATGTCCGAAACGTTATCCCGTAAATGATACTGTCTCACTGTGTGACATTTATAATAAACAGACCAAAATAGAACCATGAGGAAATCCGACCTTCCCTTCTTGTGTATTCAGAAATAACTTCTCCTTGACTTAAGCCTTTCTTGGTAATCTTTGTCTCATTTCATACTAAGAAGTGTATAAAAGTGTGTTATTCCTCCTTGCCATCCTTTATTTTTCAAATATTGCATTATTCTTCTAACTAATTTGCCTTGCACTCCTCTATTTTCACCTTTCATATAAAAATGCCATTGACAAGTAAATGTGAGATCAGATTGCTAGAAATGCACTGGATGAGTAAAACACATTTCTTAAATAAGGTTCATCTTCTTATAACACTATACATATTTACCAAAGGAACTAACTGTTTTGAATATGAAAATGTCTTACTTCTAATTCGTTGAAGTTGTTACACGGTAAGTGACTTACTTCAAAAGTTACCTATCCTGATTTCATTTTTTAGACACCTAGCGTTCTACTGAAGATATATATAACTGAAATTACACCTTAACTCTCTAATGGTTGCTTGATAAGCGTTCTTTTTACAAGTGACTAACATGATTAAGGACTAACACAAAGGTCGTTAAAGGTGATAACCAATACTCAGTCTCTGAATTTCAATCTCTAAATAACAAAAGTCTCTCAATGCATTGTTAGGAATTTGATACTGTAATGGAATATAATTCTACGCTTTGTTTGCTTAAAATGTTTGTAGGCAGCTTACTGTTACAGAACGACAGATAGATATCTCGACACCCGCTTTTCCATCTGTAGTGGTAGTATCATAGTTTTTCCGACTTCATGGGACAAAAACTTAGGGAAAAATTTCATCCCACTATAAATTCATGAGCAATAGGATTTTCCTTTATCTTGTTACTATCAGTAACTTTTATTAAGTGTTTTAAATATATTAGTAGAGTAACTATGTAGTGCTTCATAGGTAGATACGTATTTCCGCTAATTTCTCATTCTTCAAAGCTGATATACTGAATATATATAAAGAGAAGAGAGAGGGGGAGAATATAAGAGCAGTAGAGCTGATAATAACTAAGATATGTTAATATAATTGTCTACTTAATCTTGATAGTCATTCATTGTGTAGCGAGGGTATAAAGTCGTTGTTGCATAGCAACGAGGCAGTAGAATACTAAATGTCTCATAAACTGTGAAACTGAGAGCGAAATATAAAATAAAAACTTAATAAGTATAAATAGGATTATTTGCATAAATATCTATTGCATGGGTCTTACAACCCTCCTAGGAAGTCTGGAACACTATGTTTGAGCATATTGTCGTGACGATTCCCAATATTTACATGAAGTACTTCTCTGTCTATTTTTAGTTTGCTATCTAAAGATATACGAACTAAGAGAATTTTGTTGACACCATGCATAAAATGGTAGAAGTTGACCATTTTTTCATTCTCGTACTCTGTATGCACTAGATGAGTTTATAATGAATTTCTGATAGGCTTCATCACTCCTTTACTTAGCTAAGGTGGCACTGCAAAGAAGCTTGCGTCACTGAAACCTTGTTTTGTTAAACGCTCCTCAATGTTTCAGTCTACATTGAAAATACACACCGGGTGTAATTTTTAATGTGACCAGTGAAATGCATTGTACTTACTGTTCTATGGTAACAAGGAACGATTACTTTTAAACAGTGAGGTACGACACCCAGTGAACAAACTCATTTGAATACCTTTTCTAGGCTCGCTTAATGAAATGTATCCTTGATGTATTGAGTATAATTTCTTAGAAGCAAAAATATACCCAAATCTATGATCTTAAAATAATAATATCTCCATGTCTGCACAGCTCCATCATAAGTGAGTGTCACTTTTATAAGCTGTACATTTGAAAACAAGGTAGAATGAAAAATAAGTCTGCATTTCCTAGAATCTTGAGTCAGCTGGCCCTTTCGAAAGAACCATGTGTGAATGAGAATTATATTCAAAACCAAAACGTGAATGCACTGGCACCCTTAAAGGGTGGATTGACTGATATTAATTACTGGAAAAAAACCACATTGTCAATGGTTATTTTATAGAGATGTAATATATAACATTATAGCTTAAATGTAACAATTACAAATCCATAATCGTCCAAATGAAATTAATCGGGATAGTATAAATTCGTGGATAAGTTGCAGTTATTAAGTCATCGAATTTTATTTTAATAGGGAAGATAAGAATTTCAAACTAATACTTAGTGAAACATATTTTACGCCAAATGTTGCGAACTATTCTGCAGTCTTTTTCATCATAACAAGACTCTATCAGTGATCACTCATATGTGCATAATTGTTCTTGCCCATTGCTATAACCTTTATTTTCGCAGACAATTGCGTACGCATCCCGTGAGGAAATTATAGAAAAAGTAATGTTCTTGATTTTTTAAATTACTGAAGTACAAACTACTAGTAAAAACAGATTACATTAAATCTCTTTCTCATTATGTTCATATTCCTATTAATGCATATGCTGACGAATCCATAACATAGATACAACCAGTACCAAAATAACTACCTATTCAGTGAAAACTGAACATTTGCATTAAAATATAGAGTATTAGGAATACAGCATTCAAAACATCAGAAATCAGATGATCGTACTGATATCAGCGTTGATACCATTTAAATCTAAAAAGGGAAAAAAGCATGACTGATGCAAGTCAGTAAGGTCATTTCTGTTCTAATGATCAAAGATTATATGCAATTTGTACTCCCAAATAAAAATAATACCAATACATATAATAGCTAGACAGTTTGTCTTATAAGAAGGGAACCTATTAACAAGATCTCATTTGAAACGTGAAGTAAGGCTGAAGTAGAATATATTATTTGGTGGATATTGACCAATGTTATGTCCAGTTCAGTTCTACTTAAGTAGTGAATAATTTAATTATTAATTAATTAAAACTAACCTATTGCCCACCTCCATATGAATCTGATCACTGTTTATAACAAATGCATATTAGAAAGCCGGTAAGTAATGACTGATCGCATGGTATGTAAGTTCTGTAGGGAAAAATTTAAAGTCAGCGGGTACTTTCCAGAAAGTGCATAGAGTATCACCTTCGCTCATCTCTTACCATTTGATAGTAAAGTCATTTTGCTGTATTTAAGAGCCTAAAACTTTTATAGTATTTATAAGAAGCAACAACCTGAAAGAAGAATATTTTTTTCAATAGATTCTCTTCAGGTTCTAGAATCATAAAATGCAGCGTAGAAATAAGTCATGTTAGGGGAAGTTACATTTTCAAAATGAAGAGTGATCTAGGGATTGTAAGGAAATCAATTTATGTTTTTTAATTAGCCAATATTGGGATAATACATATAAAGAAGAATGATATGATAGTGAACAAAAAGATAACGAATAAGATGGAAGGAGCGGCCTTTAGTTAGATGAAGGGCAAGGGAGAAGTAACGCTTGGATATGTTCTTTCTGAATGCAGAGTTCAGGATTTATCAATCTTATTGCGACAACCTCCGCTATATTGAGCAGACGTTAGTGAGCTACACGTAGTGTCGTTTTCGGAACACAATGAATGACACTGAAAGCTTTATTAGCATCTATGTGATGCCCTGTATCAAGTAGATGAGCTGCACCCTTTCCGAACCAAGCTAGTAAATGCTCTCGTATCCGAAGACGCACCAGCCTAATCGTACGTCCTATGTAACTAGTTACACAGGAACAGTTAAACTGATATACGCAAGATAAAGAGCTAAGACTAGGTAGGCTATCCTTTAGTCTTGGACTGAAGATTGACCGACTACTGGATGATATATGAAGCCGATCTGTGTGAAGCATCCTATAGACTACTCTAGCTAGGCGTTGTGAAAGAATGTCACTTGCAACATTTCCCCTGAATTGTGAGCGCAGAAACAAAGGCATCTTCTCTACTGTCCATGAGTTCTTGTTTAGGACCATTGTAGTTGATGTTAGTTTCGATTAACTTGTCCGGATATCCTTTTTCACTTTGAATATCAAGGATACACAGTAGTTCTTTTTCCACACACTCCTTGGAACAAATCGATCTTACTCTAAAAGCCATGTAACTGATTATATTGCGTTTGTACTTCATCGGTACGAAGCTGAGAAAGTGCATGTACTGTACCTTAGATGTTAGGTCTCTATATATGCTTCTCAGTATAGAGCCATCTTTCTTTCTTGTCATTAACACATCAAGAAAATGTATCGAATCATCGATTTCATTTTTATATGTGAAATGAGTTGATGATTGAGCACTGTTGAAATGGTTCAGAGTGGAATTAATCCATATTCACTAAAAAACACTAAAAAAGTATCATCCATGTATCGAAAGTACAACTCCATATTAGCAATTTGATCTTTCAAAGGACCATTTCCAATTTTGACAAAAATATGTCTGTCTTTATAGTATCGATTGTGTCCTAAAATACTTTAACTTTTGAATGATATAAGGATTTACCTTTTTAATTTCAACATATCAAATAGCGCACTAGTTTAGATCAACCTGGTGTGTCGTGAAATCAGTTGCTCCAAACAGTGTGGCTGAAATGAATGGAACATTCAGACTAGGCGATCGAATTTTGGCAATTAATGGACGTGATCTTACATGTATGACATATAAAGAGTGAGTTAATAAAGTTTACTTTTAAAAGTATCATCACTTTCATTTAATTATGGAATGTTCTTGCAAGACTGTTCTTCATGCCTGACTTCTTCAATAATAGATGGCTTCTTCAGTGCGAAAGTGAAACATTCGGTTTTTGAGTTTTTAGCCTTGAAGAAGTAGTAGGTAAGAGATAATGATGTTTTTGTTTTGCACTTTCATTATCATTTTCGCAAAAAGAGGTTCTTTCAAAATCATGCTTTGCAATCTGCAGCACTTATCCATCAAACATGCAGTTTTTCTACACTAGTGAAGTACAGTATGCATTTCAGCAAGATTTTTCGGAGATACAGTTAGAACTTTGAAACTTTTGACAAATGTTTAAGTCACGTTAAGAAACTTACAGATAGATATCATGTGATGATAATTTTGATATCTTTGGAACAACTAAAAATTCCATTTTTATCTCAGTATAACATGGCTGGAACAGGTATGCTTTTGTGGCGACAAAGATTACTTTCAACTTCTTCTTGATCATACTAAAAGCGTTTTTTTAATGAAAGCCGCCATAATGAAGCAACAGATTTTACAGAAGCTGTTAAACTTATTTATATTCTGAATTTGACACTTAGCTAACTGCTGTAATCGATAGGTATGCGAAGAATGATACATTAAAGATCTGGGGTTAGTAGGTTAGGTCTAATGGTACTTTCATGCACATGTCGTAATAGCTTAAACCATCTGACTTTCAATCTTTGCATTAACTTCACAACACTTTGAATTTACGCATGAGTTAATAAGATTAACTACTCATCCTTTAACGGCAAGTTTAATTAAGTTCATAAGAAACTTTTAATGAAACTGAACCCCTCCGACTTCTGATAAGAAAATCAACAACAAACTCTTGTAACTTGCAGAACATTAGTTATTTTCACTAACATGTTACACTAGCCTTGTCAATAACTAAAGATTATGTTTTATAAAGTTTAACCAAAAAGTGTTATATTAAGCGGTATAAAATAGCTATTGAGAAAAAATTAGGCATGTGATGTAGACTTCTGTTTGCCAATAATATTTTTAATTTTTTTTTCAAACTGTTGCCAAATCTTTCATTAAAGATTCTCAAAAATAAAATTCACTCCTTCAATATTCATATTATTTGTAGTGAAATTCAAAGGCACATTTTTAAAATATTAACTTCATATTTCATCATAATATATTAGAAGCAATTTTACTCTTTTTGAGTATAACCGTCAATAATTTTTTTCAGATTAAACGTTTAGTATAACCAATAACGAGAGTTGTACTCGAATGAAAGAAATATATAAGACGATACGAGAACATCTTCAGATTATCAGTCATGTGACTGTAAAAATTAATTAGTGCATTTATAAATTGTCTACCTAAGCAGTTATGGTGATATAGCTAAATTTCAAATTCTTGTACTACAATCAACAATGACAAAATTTAGATAAATAGTAGATACTGATACCAATGGGTCATCCTGATCAATGTCTTACGTTTAACAGCAAGTCCTATAACCTAACTTGAATTGTATGTATCAGGTTTGAATAATGATGATTATCAGTGGTACCAGTTGTGTCAGTACGAGGTAAAAACAGCCACTGATGAACGTTCTCAAGATACGTATTGTAAGTATTTTTTACCTTCTAGTTTATTGCTTTAAGGAACTTGATGAACTTTAAATAGTTTACACGAGATGAAGAAGTAATTTTAAGCATCTATAATAAGCATTGGAGCTGTGAACAAGAGTGGTCAACACTTGAGATTTTCTTCCATCACTGCTGTTAAATCCAGTACTTTTCTTTATTCTGTTCCAGTGCCCTAGCTCTACTGCGACAATGCGTAAATCAGACAACTTTTACAGTGCTTCGCTGTAATCTACCTGATCCAGAAGCTTTGTTGAAACGCAAAGACATCTAAAATGGGAAATCTGCTTTAACAGCGACAACTGAAGATTGTATATTGTTACTGAACCTTTGAGTGTTAAGAAAGCTGAGTTGGAAAGCACAATATATGCTATGTAGCAATTCTGTAATATTATTCATATTCACAGTTCATTTTTATTTCATCTGCCAAAGAAATTCTCCAAAAGATGATAAGAAGTTAAATCAAAGGAAAGTATTATCTTCAGATTCTTTGCTTCACCATGTTTTTTTTTAACCATTCCGAAAATATTGGACATACCGACTGTAACGTCTGATTCAAAAATGAATAACAGTCAAGTGAACAACTACCTGAACAGATATTTAAAAACTTTCATATCATTCTACTTTAAAGTGAATTAAAACACTGCCCATTGCAAATAACTTCTTTTTAGTCTACTTACTTTTACATTTTCTTCGCAAGAAATCCTTACCAAACATAAAAGTAGTAATTTTTTTTTTGAAGCTGCCAAATTCATGTTTGCCTCTATTCTTCACTCTCTATCTGCCTCATCATTCAAACATCCCTTCTCTCTACACTCAACTGGTTACATCTCAAGCAAACCTAAATGCTTCCGTAAACATATGCACACATTTATGCGTACATATCCAAATTTATATAATTTCATATCTTGTTAAAGTTTTTTGGTTTTTTTTCTTATCTGAGATCAATAACTTTTTTGTAATAATTTTGTAGGTATTTTGATCAGTTTGTTGAGCCGTTTTTTTATTTTTCACATCCTTATACTACTTAAATATTTTTTATTAATATAGTTATTAAGACGATAAAACAAGCTACAATAACAAGTAATTATTTACTGGTTATTTAGTTTATTTTACTATTGGTATCCATTCTGAGAAAACATAATTCAAAAGTGCTCCTCCAACGTTAGGATTATTCTAAATGATGAAAGACTCAATATTGAAGTAACTAGATATGTCTGCAAATGTTACAACTTGGGAAATGGTTTATTTTTACAGTATTCAGGGCTTAAAAATCAGTGGGTCGTGATCATATATTATACGAAATAGAGGTTAGTTGTGTATTATATAGTCGACGGTACAATGAATATCCAGTACGCTTGTTTGAGAAAGGATATCATTTCTTTTTAAGGAAATACGTTGTCACATCATGTCAATAACACAAAAGTCAGGCATAGAGGTTCAGGCAGAAGAGCAGTCAGTTGACTAGACTGCAAGCTCTCATGGACTCACATGTTTGGCACATACATTGCACATGCTTAGTTACCGTCTATCCAACGCGCACCGTCAGATGAAGTGAGCTGAGGTCAGAAGAAAGTGTTCAAGGCTACCAGATTACAACAAAACGTCAGTTCGTAAGGTCTCTGACTGTTCTTAGGGTTGCTTTTGCAAAAATAACGAATTAAACTTATGTAAACCATTGAATACCTGTTTAAAACTACGATTTTTATTGTGACCCCCACTTGGAATAAGCATCAACAACGATCAGGTAGTAGGTTCCATGTAATGGACCTGTGAAATCGATATGAATTCTAGACCAAGGTCGATCTGGCAATGGCCAACTCTTTGGCGGAAGACGTGGAGGATTCTAGCTGCCTTCTGACATGATGCGCAGCGACTGACAAATCCAGCCATATCCGAGTCCATATTCAGCCAATAAGCATAGCTTCTGGCGATGGCTTTCATACGTTCTATTCCTGGATGACCAGCGTGAAACTGTTTTAGAAGTTTTGCACGAAGAGACTGAGGGATCACTACGCGTTCTCCGAACACGAGGCAGTTGCCGACGACACAAGGGATTCTCTTCTGCAGAACAGTTGTTTCAGGTCACCAGCAAACGATTTTCGCGGCCATTTTGTCTGGACATAATGCATGACTTTCTGTATGATATGATCCTTGCAGGATTCATTTTCCACTTGAGCTGATGTGACAGGAAGTACGCGGACGGCACAGTTCAGTAGGTTAACTGCGTAATCCTTTGTGGATACTAAGGCGATCACTGCGTCTTCGTTAGGTGTAGGATACTCACTTATAAGCCTTGAAAGTGAGTCTGCATGTCCAAAGTCTTCTGTTCGGCGATATTTAATATCGAAATCACAGCCCAACAATGTTACCGCCCACCGTTGTAGTCTGTTGGCGGAATGAGCTGGAACACCACATTTCTACCCAAAAATTGAAAGGAGTGGCTTGTGGTCGGTGAACAAAGTGAATTTCCTTCCATACAACATCTTGTGGATGCGTCTGACCGCGAAAACTAAGGCAAGTCCTTCCTTCTCTATCTGTGAGTAGCGTTTTTCTGCTGACGTGAGTGATCGAGATGCATGTATGATAGCTTTTTGTGAACCATCCGGATATTCGTGCAATAGGACAGCCCCAACACCAGCGGTGGAAGCATCTGCGGCAACGAGGATTGGTAGCTGTGGGTCATAATGCGTTAACAGGAGATCAGAGCTGAGAGTGGACTTGAGTCGTTCCATAGCCGTTTCACATTCTCTCGACCAGGACCATGTAGCATCCTTGCGTAGGAGACAATTCAAAGGTTCCCTTATATCATGTAGGGAGAGCAGGAATACCGAATGGTAACTGATGAGACCAAGAAAGGTTCAGAGAGTCGCAACATCTGGCGTGGGTATCTGCTGTATAGCACGAGTGTTTTCGGGATCGGGACGTCTACCAGATGCATAAAAGATGAACCCTAAATATTTTACTCACTTTAGGAAGAATTGACATTTCTCCTCTCTGAGTCGAAGGCCATTGTCTTGGATTCGCTGTAGGACCAACCGTATTCGACTCGGTAATTCCGCTGAACAGGTGGCAACTACTATGATGTCGTCAAGGCATGCAGCAACACCTGGTATGCCTGCTAGCATAGTGTCCATGATCTGCTGAAAAATAGCGGGGCAGTCCTAATGCCAAATGGCAGACGATTGTACTGGAAAAGACCTCGATGGGTATTGATAGTTAGTAGTTCACGATATTCTGGAGCG